AAATTAAAATAAGAGAATATTATAACATATGTGATCGATCTTATATCTGACGCATATGAGACTCGACTCATCATGTCCTACATAAGGATTCAAAACTTAAGCATGGAGATCCTCAAGTATGTTCGCTCGGATTTATGGGGTCCCTCTCCAGTGAATTCTCATGGAGAATGTCAATACTTTTTTAGCTTTATCAATGATAACTCAAGGAAGGTTTGGGTGTACTTTATGAAAAAACAAAAGACAAAGAAGATGTATTTGGGCGGTTCAAAGAGTGGAAGATTATTGTTGAAAAACGGGTCGAGAACCATGTTAGGTCGCTCAAAACATAAAATGGATTAGAGTTATGCAAGGCTTCGTTTGACAACTTATGCAAAACAGAAGGTACAGTGATGCATCACACTGTACGAAAAAACACCATATCAAATCGTAATGGCAGAACGGATGAACCAAACACCGATGGAGAATGCTCGGTGAATGCGATTAGTTGTTGATTTATCAGGACAATTGTAGACGGAAACATTTACCACTTCTTGCTATCCGGTGAATATATCTCCATCAACTGCATTTGGTTGTACAACTCCTTAAGAGGCGTGGTTTGAGAAAACCTTTGATTATCCTAGTTTTTGAATGTTTAGATGCCCTGCGTACGCTCATGTGGATGATGGTAAACTAGAGCTAAGGGAAATGAAGTGCATACTCATAGGATATGCATTTGGAGGGAAAAGTCGTCGTTTGTGGTGTATAGAAGAATGAAAAACTCCAAAAATTATTATTAGCAGATATGTGACCTTTGAATCTATTATGTGTAACAAGAGAGGAGGTAGTACAAGTGTTCAACAGAATGATTAGGGTGATAACCCGAAAGGTGGAGTTTGCAACACAACCCCCCATACATATTCATGATAAATAAGGAACAACAATGTGGCATGGAACAACATATACATGAGGAATTCCTTTGGTTATGCTGATACCAGGAAAGACAACCTGATAAAGCTTTTAGATAATAAGTTTGAGATGTACAATTTACGATTCTTGTAATTTAAATGATACTATATTATCATTTACCAATAATAAATACCTCATACAATATGCATACTGTGACACCAGTCAAATTTTGGTCAAAAATAAATTGATCAATAATCGTAATTGCGATAAACCAAGTGGTAGAGTTTGTAACAAGGTTTTCAAAAACATAAAGAACACTGAAATCCGAGTTATAACGAAGAAGTTATGACCAATCGAAAATCCGCGGTAAAACCGGCAAAACACTGTTCAGTGTAAAAAGCGAATTTTCGATAAAACGATTTTTAGCCTTAACAATCTAAATGAAAGTTGTAGAATATGTTAAACCGAGAACGTTCATAAAAAGAACGTCAAAATCTGACTTCGTATGAGGAAGTTATGATTTTTCGAAGTTTCGGTTTAGCAGTAGACAGCTAAAAATTCGAAATATAAATCGATCGATATTTAGCCGACGCAACTTAAACGAGAATCGAAGGTCTCGTCAAAAGTAGCACAACGGTAAAAAGACAGACAAAAACGGACGTCGGATGAAGAAGTTATGAATTTTTAACGGATTCCCGTCCCGGTCTGTTTAAAATAATAATATTAAAAATAAAGTCAAAATTAGCCGACGAAGTCTAAAAAAAGGTCGTAGAGTATGATTTTACCTACGCGTGCATATAAAGAAAATAAAAAACGGAGTTCGTATGCGAAAGTTATGATTTTCGCAAGTTTTTGGCACAAAAATCAAGAAAAATGGAAAACCGGGCAATTTCGCATGCAAGGCTTCGGACACGTCATCATCACGTGCGGACCTCCACGTGTCACCTGCTGATAGGACCGAACCTTGCGTGGCACCTTCTGATTGGACCGCAGCCGAGGTCCACTAAGCAGCCGACAACACTCGCAAGAGACACCCCGGAGATGCCCCTCGGACACCCCCCTTGCATCGTGGCATCCTCCCATTGGACCGAAGGCTGGTCAAATCCGAAGCCCCCACCTGTCCGAGCCTCCCACGTGGGCTTCGCTCCTTCCGACGCGTGTGCTGCTGACTCATCCGCGCCTTCGCCAGCTGCCACTTCGGACCGCACCCTCGCACCCCTATATAAAGGGTGCGAGACTCCTCGGCTAAGAAGGGTTTTTCACCCCAAAACTTCCCAAAATTCACATTTCCACCCCGTAAACTTTCTCCCGACCCCCCCAAGGCCCCGATATCGTGTCTAAATCCCGAAGCAAGCCCCGGAGCCCCGGAATTCTCGAGAAGTTATCCTCTCTCCTGTCGAAACTTTGCCCGTTTTGAGCCGGTTTTTGTCAAACAAACTATTTTCCGGGAAACGAAACGCTGCCCGAATCACCGCTTATCAAAGTGAGTTCATACCCCTATAATTTACCTTTTTAATGGTTTTTTAAATGCTTTTTAGGGGGGGGGGGGAATACAATTTTAACACAATAATAAATTGTGTTAATAACTGTGTGTGATAATAATCACACAAAGTGTTTCCGTATGCTTTTAAGAATTACCAAATACTTTCAAAATGACTTGAAGTCATGCTAAATATTTAAAGTCATGTAAACTCCGTTAAATTCTTTGAAAAATGTTTTATAAACTATTTCAAGTTATATATGCCAAAATCATGTTTATATATGTATAAATATATAAATAAGATTTGAAGGGCTTAGGACTAATGAATTATCTTATTTCCTTTTCCTTGTTTGGATGTGGAATTAAGGTTGTATTATTTGTCCGAAGGTCGTTTCCTTCTTAATTATATATATATATATATATATATATATATATATATATATATATATAACATATATGAGTACAAAAGGTTACTCCTTTTGGTATTACCACCTTTGTATCAGGCTGAGCAAAGGTGTTCATCCATGAGAAACCATGCTAATCAGATAGAACATATAAATTATAATAGGTATAATTTATGATTCAAAACTAAATATACAAGTATGATTCACGACTGTATACTTTCCAAGGAAATTACCAAAATACATTCAATTATAACAAGATATGTATAATACCTTTAATATACGAACAAAATATTAAAGAAGTAAAGATACATCATATCAGGTTTGCATTAACAAAGGTACTATACAGAGTACCAGAGTTAGCAAACACGAGGTAATAATACACAATTATGGGTTTGCATTAGCAATGGTAGTATACAGAGTACCAGAGTTAGCAAACACGAGGTAATAATACATCATACCGGGTTTGCATTGACCGAGGGTACGATACAAAGTACCAGAGTTAGCATTCACAGGGTAATAATAATACATCGTAAATCTCGTTGTACTTATCTAAGTACGACCTTTTAAGTCCTAAACTATTAGCCAGAATCTCTTGTAGGGAGAGCGTGAATTTGTGTATAGATCTATATGGGACTGACAATCCCGCACCTCTACTGTTCGCTACAGTTTGGCCGGCAGGCCTAGGGTGTCAAATATCATATTCATTCCGACGCCTGAAGAACGTCGCAACAGGCATTTCCGTCATATTAGTATGGTTAATAGAACTCACATGGATAAAACAACGAGTGAATTACAAAGTAATATACTTCTCTTATAACAGTAAGAAAAGTTAATTACATCTCGACCAAATATACCTTCAGTAGCTTTTACTTACGGTAAAAGCTACGTATCATGAAATCAGGTATTGTACTTCCGGTTTTGAACATTTAAAACCACAAGGCAGTACTAGGGATAATACAATATTTTACAGGATTAATACTAAGGTTTTTACTATAGAACAGATATAACTAAGAATACTTTTACAAAGGAAACAGTTTATGGGATTAAACCACTTATACAAAGGAAACGGTTTATGGGATTAAACCACTTTTACAAATTAAACGGTTTATAGAATTAAACTACTTATCAAATGGAACTTAGTCATTCAATCTCTGTAAACTAGTATAACATAAAAGACCTTTAGTAGTTAATTCTATAATTCCTTAGTTATTACATCAGAGTGATACATAAGTAATGTCCGATTGACAGTGAAATGTGTGACTTCCGCCTTACTTCCTGTTCCTTGTTTGGTTGTGGGCTTAGGGCAGATACACCCATTTAACTGTCCATTCGATATTGTGTTATATATAATCAGTATAACTAAGTAATTACAGAGGTAAACTATTGAGGTTATCAGTTAATCACCTCAGGAAATAGAGGATTTCCTGGAGAAACCGAGGAACCAATTCAAAGAACTTAGGGTATACTTAACAGAACTAAAATACTTATGAACTCACCAGCTTAAATGCTGATCTACTCTTTCCAAATAACTTGTATTCTCAGGAATCAAGTAGACAGGTACACTTCCGAAGCTTTTGAGAAGACTACCTAGTACCGTACCGCGACTCTTGTCTTCTACTGTACATACTTTAGTGTTTGAATATGTAATGTTTGAACACTTATGTAAAACTTATACTTATTAATGCAATGATGGTTTGTACTTTGATTACTATATTGCATGTGTTGTGATACTTACCTAAAGTCCTCCGCCCCCGAACGTTTCCGCTGTTCTGGTTTGGGGGTGCGACACATACACTCATAAAAACTATATCGTGATAATCTTTACTGAAATATGTTTTTTTTCGAGATGAATAATTGCTTACTTTCGGAATATACTACCAAACTTACGATTGATAAAATTGACGGGGGAAATGGTTTTCATATGTGGGCCGATCATATACCTTCATGATTCGAGAAACAAAATTCATGGTCGGTTTATCCATTAAAAAATATGATCAAGTGTTAACACGAGCTTTCCACGTATGATATTTTAATAAATATATTTCTTTTATATTTTAAAAGCGACAACCTTTCTTTTATTGATGTTGAAAAATAATAAATTTTAGTTTTCAAAACATTACGGAAAAATAGTATATGATTCCATAGATGATAGATTGATTTACTTTAACACATAAAAAATAGATATAAATACATAAAAAAATCGATGCAAGACATTATTTGGGCTCCAATCCATGCCTCCACAAATCAACCATCCAACGACAATTTTATCGATCACACGGATCGCCATCGTACGGTTGGGAGTCGAACAATCCAACGGTAAATATCACACCTTTTTCTAAGCACAAAGTTCCATCTCCACTATTCATATAAAACCCCTAGCCCCATTTTTCAAATACACAGAAAACAAAAACAAAATATCTGGAAGAGGAAAAGGAGGCAAGGGTTTGGGAAAGGGAGGAGCAAAACGTCATCGGAAAGTTCTCCGTGACAACATCCAGGGAATCACAAAGCCGGCGATTCGCCGTCTTGCGAGGCGTGGTGGCGTTAAGCGCATAAGCGGTCTTATCTATGAAGAGACACGTGGTGTGTTGAAGATCTTCCTCGAGAACGTTATTCGTGACGCTGTTACTTACACCGAGCATGCTCGCCGGAAAACCGTTACTGCGATGGACGTTGTCTATGCATTGAAACGTCAGGGTCGTACACTGTATGGATTCGGTGGTTGAGACAAATTAGGGTTTGTATTGTTTGGTTATTTTGAGATTTCCGATTTGCTTCGTTTTGTTGTGGAAATGTATGATATATCAGTTTAATTGAAGCTCGATTGAGACTTGGATAATTTGTAATTAGTATCCATAATCACAAACGAAAGATTTATTGTTAATTTTTCAAGTTCTATCTAACAATCTTGAAGGAGTTTGTTTCTTGCAACTGTTTTATTTGTACTTATTTCTCTCCGGGATCCACTTAATACGAGGTAAATCATTAAAAATGGTCATTGATTACAAAACAGAGCAATCCATATAATAAATACACTACATGGTTCACAAGAAATGTAAATGCATATTTACCAGCTGGTGGATAATATGCTCTGTAGCCATGGACAACAAACATGAGAAAATCCTACTTGACATTTTAACAAACACTCGGTGGGCAAAAAGAAATGATCTTGAATTCAATTGCTCGGGATCATGTTAGATGACCAAAAACACAATCAATCGGGTGTATAGCTTCCGAACAAATATCTTATTCTGTAACTATTGTAAAATCATTAGAGGATAAAGGATAAAGGATAAAGGAATTTTGAAGTATCTTCAAACCAAAGTGACTTAATTTAAGTTCATCCTCACCACCTATAAAAGAAAAAAAGATAAAGATTCCCTTGGAGGCTAAAAGAAATCATTTTACACATAGGCAAAGTGGTCAATTCTTACTTCTTCGCCAAGAAGGTATCCCAATTCACCTAAATAAAGAAAAAGAATGCGCACAATGGAAAGATATATGATAAAGATGACAAAATAATATTGTTACTTTTAGCATGAAATAAAATATGAAGCAATTGCAATATATTTTATTATTTTATATATATTATATCGACATCGTTTTTAACAACTTTTAGTGATTTAAATGTTCATATTTTTTGTCTTACTTAAATGTACGGACACAAATGATAAACTCTTGAATAAAAACAAAACATGTAAACTTTAAATTATTAAAAAAGTTATGAGGTTGTATAATAAATTGGTATTATGGGTTTTCTGTATGATGTTCCTAATTTTATGAAGCTTTATTAGTGTAATTTATTAAATTACTTTCTACTTAATTTCTATAACTTTTTATTTACTATTTGGTTAGCAACTATTATAATGTTTTCGTACCATTTTGGTATAGAAGATTAACCTATTTTTTTAACATCAAGACAAATATATTGTTAATGAATATTCTCACCATGCTTTAGGCCAATGGGATGTTGGTGGAAATAACTTCAATAATAAAGAGTAAGATTGAAACATACATATAGTAACATTTTTTTTAAAAAAAATTAATTTTATAGCAGTTATTAACTTATCAATGATTACAATGATTAATATATGTTTATACAAAAATAAATTCAGATTTTAATATTGTCCCTAGGTGAATACGATCATCACATACACAAAACATTCTTTTTAATGTTCACCGGAATAAATTCATACGTTTTGAAAGAATCTTGATAAGAAATATAAATTGACATCAACTTATTAACTCATTAGCAATAATAGTTTAATATTAATAGTTCAAACTTTTAAATTTATATTTATCTTGTTTGGATTTACCTATATAAAACAAATAATCAAATATATATTAATTATTAATGACCATTCAAAAGTATAAAATACACTAAAACATAACATACTTTTACAATTTTATCAATTAGGTCTCTCAATCTTTTTAACAATTGAATCCTTAAACTTGATTAATTGTCTAATTCAAAAGTATATGCATGTTATCGATAACCGGTTATGTGGGTATAATTACGTAATTACCGGAGAGAAAAAAGTTTAATCATTAAAATAAGTTGAAAGACTATAAAATAGTAAAATACACTATCTTTTTCTATATTTTGATCTTTATAATAAAATGAAAATCTAGATATAATTATATTTATTTAATTATTTTGGATCAAGACATAAAGTCGATTCTTTATAAAATAAAGTTTTGTTTACTTTAAATTTATATAATGATAAAATTAAATGCTATAAACCTAATGTTATTTTCTTTATTAATAAAGCAGCTTCAATGTTTAAACATTATATACTAAAATATGTTGTTGTTCAATGATTTACCCTAAGTAATGAGTATGAATAAATTGTTGTTTGGATAACTAATTTTTAAATATATTTAAGAAAATTAGGATGTAGTTGAAAAAAATGAGATACAAAAATAACAAGGTAATTTGTGAAGTGCTAGTATTTAATGGAGACAACCTTCTTTCCTTGAACCTTTTTTATTAAATCATTTATTATATTAAATGGAAAATATAGCTATATATAACATAACGTAAGTCATTACATTCTATCTCCATTAAGTGGGTGTTTGACAAAAAAAAAAAAAACTTTTGTTTATTAACTTAGAATTTGTTAGCTTACTTATAAGATAATAAGTTAGAAAAAGTAACTTATAAAAAATGTTTTATTAACGGTTTCCTACCGAAATAAATTATTTTTGTTCAAATACTTTTTTAACTTATAACGATATGAAACCACTATTAAACTAATAAAACTAATAAGTTGTTTTAATAGCCAAACACGCACTAAATAAAGACCAACACATTAATTGTTAAACTTTGAGGAGATGGTTTTTCTTTGATGCATGATGGTTTAGAGCATTGGGTATGGGCCGGTGTTATAACGCCTTCTTACATGTCACATCAACCTTAACACCACCATAACACAATGTAGGAAATGGTGTTCCAATGTTATAATTTGTTAAGAGGTAGAAAAAGGTAGAGAGAGAAAGAGAGAAAGAGGAAAAAAAATGATTTTGATTGGTTCTTATTCCCGTTTCAAGAAGTGGTGACGGGCATGAGAAGTGCCATAACGAGAAGAAACAAGAGGGGGGGGGGGGTGTTCCCCCCGTTATAACGCCGTTTTTGACTTCCACCTCAGCCACAACGAGCACGAGATGTGCCCACACCGTATCCTCTTACGTTGATGGTTTTGTAACTTTAGCTTACTTTTGGTAAAATGACTTTACAGTTTACATCTCCACCTATCTATAAAACTTATTTTTCATTCCATACAAATTTTTATTTTTTAACTTTTTGTACACATATCAATAAATTTATTTTTAATGTTTAAAATATATTATTATTATCGGTTATTATTAGTCATACGAGTACTTTTTAAACATAAAAACAAATTTATTAGTAAAATATATATAAAAAATAATTAAATATGAAGAAAAATATAATTCGTTATCTTCATATTTCATCATCCCTTTTTAATATATATAATTCTTTATTTTAATTTTATTGTAAACTCTATGAATCTATAAATATTTATTTATTTATTTTAAATTTATTTCATAAATCCATTTTTAATCTCTTTCTTATATCGATCAAAAATAACTAAGCAATTGAATGTAGGTTTTAATTTTATTACAAACTTCAATTTTTTTTTTTAAAGTTTTACAAAGAAGAATGTCAAGTGGATAGAAACATCAAACACTTGCACCAACATTTCAATGAGATATAAAGTTCTAAGAGAAAAAAAAACCGTTCTTAGTCTTTTAAGATTAAAGAGCCGCTGTTTGATGTTCTAAGAGAGAACAATATTGTTCTTAAACTTTTATGTATCACTCAAATGTTTGTGCAACTGGTTGATGTTATTATCCACTTGACAATCTCAATTGTAAAAACTTGAAAAAAAATTGAAGTTTTAATTGAAGATAATATTAATCAGATTAATTTTCATTTATAATAATTACAGTGGTTGTTAACTCATATTTTAACGCTTAATTATTTTTGATCAAGACAAGGAAGAGATTTAAAAAATAAATTTTTATGGAAATGAATATTTTACAAACTAATAGTTTTTTAATAAAATTAGAATGAAAGATTAAGAAGGAATTGCAAATTTCTTTTTGTTCATATTTAGTTATTTTCCTTTTTGTGTACATAATTTATCAGTAAAATTATTTTTGGTGTTTAAAAGATACCCTTATGACATGCAATAATCGGTCATACTAATATTTTTTGAACACAAAAAATAAGTTCATTGATTAATGATAAATGAAAATGACTAAATACGAACAAATCATTATCATTTCCCAATATGCACTAATAATATTATTAACTCCAAAATGGAACAGGAATCGGTTTTTTGTATTTGCCATTTTACTTTTACACTATTTTAGTTTTTATTTATTTATTTATTAGTATAATAATTAATATTTACAATATCATGCTATATTAAATGATGTTAATTAATCATAAATATTGATTTTGATCTTAATTTGTATATCAAATTCATATAAAAACTTAATGAGTTTGAACAGATTAAAACATAATAACATATTTTATAAAACCTTATGGGAAATTTAATCTAATGGATAAATATGTATTAATTTTGTCAAATGTATGTGTAATTTATTATAAATGAATATATAATATTTATTTAAAAATGTTATATAAATAAAACTTTATTTTATTTAATAATTTTTTCTTTAATAAAATCATATTTAATTATATACAAATAATTAATTTTGTTATAATTTTGTCATAAAATCATTTACTAACATTAATGCAATAAAAAATGGAATACATATTTGTTAGAGCTAATTAATAAAACAAAGTTTTTTTTGACAATTTATATAATTACATAAAATGAATATACTAGGAATATATTCTTTTGTGATAAAAATAATGTGAAAAATTAAGTAGAGTTGGAAATATGGGTGTTCGTTTGGATGTAATTGTTTGATCTGATCCAATTAAGTAAATCCAAATTGATTTCGGTTTTCAAAATATGGATCCAAATAGTTCAAACTAAAATCAAATCCGATCCGATCCGATCCAATTACAAATCGGCTGGATCGTTTTTTATTCGGTTTTCAAAAACCATAACATTTTAAAACGAAGTATAATTAACATTTTAAAACGAAGTATAATTATAATATAATCCAGCTTTTACAGAAGAAGTAAAAACAAATTATTTCGTTGTGATTTAAAATTGATAAACAATTA